GTTCATCGCCACTCCCTATAGGCCCAGATGCCAAAGGCCACCGCCCAGATCAATGATCCAAACTTTCCAACTCACGGCTGGACAGAACAGTTGGTGCAGCGAGCCTTGGACAGCCTAGCCAATGATGGATGATGGATACGTGGCCAAGCTCTCTACCAAGCACGACCTGACCATGCACAATGCGGAGCCCCTTAGGAAGAATTGCGGCCATGATGTTCTCTCGCTTCCATAGAGGGGATGGTGCATTTAGTTTGACCTGTGACCTCGATTTCGTCCGTGGCATCCAGTTCTCTCCTTCGATCCCTGCTCTTTATGACGACGGTGGCATCGGCAGTGAAAAAGAAGAAAGCATTTGCAGATATGGCAGATGAGGAGACAATGGCTAGAGAGAGGTGGGCAAACTCAAAGTTTGTGCGACACCAGCTTCACATTGTTCTGGACAATGCGTGCCCAGAAGCTCAGCCTGCAGATGACTTGACAGAGGCCGCCTTGATTATCCAGCAGGAGGACTTCTTCCCGCATGGTGCGTCCTGCATTGGGCAGCAGCTCTGTGACTGATGCAATGGCCATCCTGAAGCGCAGTGCAGTCATTATCTTCTCCAAAACTTCATCTATTACCGCTTGCCTCCTCAGGAGCTTGTGTCAGTTCAACGCCTTCGGTGCTCGAAATTGCACATTCTGTTGGGCTCTTGCAAGCCTAGTTTGACTAACTTCTTGGAGGGTGGCCCCGCTCCAGCTTCCTTCCATGACAACACCATCTGGGAACAAGAAGCTTGTCTGCACACAAAACCCTTCCGTGTTGAGTCTGCGTTTGTAAATCAACTGCAAAAAGGCACACATGGAAAGACATGTGTCTGCTAATTAATGTTAATTCTATATTCTTGCATCCAAGCAAGCTCAAAACACTTTCCGCATGTTAAACTGGCATTGTTTTGCCTTTCATCTCAATGCTGACAAAACTTAGGAATGGTTGAAAGAAGCCATCTGCAAGGCTGAGGCAAAGAATTTGCAGGATGTGATTGGCAAGGCCCTGGAACCTCACTTAGTTCGAGCCCACAGCATCTCGTTTCAGAATTCACATAGTTCGGAAACGGGACGTTGATCAGCGAGACAGCCGATGTTCACACTGTCATGGAACGAAACATCATGAACAGCTCGGCTACTCAGCCATACTCGGCCACAACACGATACATCAACGGCTTCATCATGTTTCATCTACTCATATATGCATAAATAGGTCAACAATCCCTTCACCCTATTACAAAAAAACACCCCAAATGGTAATCATGGTGGCCTATTTTTTATCTTACAGGAGGAGTTTAATACTGGGCATGAATTGTTGGCAAGGGAGTGCCGTAGATCTCCCGTTGATATTGACACTGACGTGGCCAGCCATGACTGGACCAACTGAGATGTCAAGAAGGAGCCACTGACAAAGTTTGCCCACCTCCCAGCTGTCTTCATGTCTTCACAAGGGTTGTGGACTTGGACCCCCCTCGCCAGTCAAGAGCCTTCGCAAAACTTACGCCATGTCTCCGTCTCCTGCAAGTACAGCCCTTGCTTCCACATTTGCACCTTCCCGTATTATCATGAATCCCAACACTGCTGAGCTGGGCTTGCGTTCCATTGATGAGGAAGAGTGCCCGGAGGACGACCTTGAGAACTTGATGAATGAGATGGGCATGCCAAAGGTGGGCACACCTCCCAATGGGCTCTGAGAGCTTGATTCACATGCCTTGAAGCTTGCCTTCCCGATATGAGTCGCCAAATGCTGCAGCACCATGGGCCTGTGGGTGACCAGAACAGCCTCACAACCAAAGTCTTGCGTCACACCTGCTGATTGCACTTGCTTTGCTCTATAAGGCGTCTGTCCTACTTTCACTGTTGCTCTTCCATGTCTTGTTGTGCCACTTGGATGGAGACAAGAAGTTGTGTTCTGCGCGCCCCTGGCTTCTTGATTCTAACCACTTGCAGAAATTTGGATATAGAGGCCGACGTATTTCCCGCAGCGTCCTTCAGACGATGGTTGCCAAAGTTTCCAAGAAGTTCAGCACAGGCTTCAACAATTTCCAGCTCCCAATCGTGACTGAAGCGGCCCTCGGCCATGAAGACAAAGGCACACAAAGGCGTGGAAAGATCCCCCTACCCCGGCATCCTTCAAATCTGATGGCTAAGGACATAGTGTGGGAAAAGTTGACGGACGTTCTTCATGCCTCAGAGAAGAACCTGGTCAAGATGCTCCTGCGGAAAGGGTTTCTCAGGTCATAGGGATGGCAAACTTTGCCCAAGACATGGAAAGGGTAACCTGTCAAAAATTCAAAGTGGTGAAAGACCACAGCACTGATGTAGCGCAAAGAAGTGCCATGTGCACATCAATCCTCACTATCTACGTCCGCTCTTCACAGATGGTCGTGGCACCGGGTATATGCCATTGCAAACACAAGCAGCTTATCTTTCTTGAAGATCAACAGCATGCCACATCCAACTATCCGCCGGTTCTTGGCGTCAACACGGTTGCATTCCCTTCGCAGTGGATATGAAGGAAAAGGAGATCAACTTTGCTTCTGGTGTCAAGTGGAGCGATGTGGAGGCTGATGAGACTACCTTTGAAAACAAGGCTGCGCCCATGGCTTGCAAGCAATGGTGTGGCTTTCGCCCCAAGATGTCTGAGGTCCGGGCTCCAGGGCCAGGCGCCATCCGAAAAGTTGAGTGGGCACAGGCACGTCACTCTACACACTGATGCTGCCAAGGTCTACAGGTGCAAGATCCCGGGTGTGCTGCGCGATGAGGTTGCTCATTGCAAGAAGAAGGCAAAGATCAATGGCAAGTGGAAATGGCATGCGCCAAATTATGTCCGCCTTGTTGCCCACAAAATGCATGGTCAGAAGGCGCCTGTTCACTGCAAGGCCGGAACTCAGGTGATCGATCGCGCCTGGCGATTCCTGAAGGGCCCACTGCAAATCAATCAGGCCTCCCGTGTCGGAATTGCTGCCTTGCGAGCAAAGCTCCGCTCGGCCCAGTATGAGTACTGGTATAGCAACCACGACATGTGGGTTGCCACAGGCACTCTCTGTTCCTGGGAGATGACAAAGTTCATCGAGGCCGTTTGAGCAAGCAGCACATGATCCGACGAAAATCAACGCATCTCTGTTCGCTGCTTGGAACATGCAGTGCAATGCAAAGTAATGTCATGTAGTGTGGTGTAGTATGGCGTAATGTAGTGTAGTGTAGTGTTGTGTAATGTAATGTAGTGTATGTATATGTACACATAATATATTTGTATATAAATATATATGCACAGATTTTGTGCGCCTTTTTCTGCTGAAGCGAAGTCACAAGCAAGCCTTGCCATTCTGGATGCAGACCTGCTGATTGCTCATGCTATGCCGCTTTGCATATACAAAAAATGATTTATTTATATAATTATTTGTTCATTCATTCATGAATTTATTTTTCATTCATTCATTTATTTATCTATTTTCATTTTTAAACCTACTTATTAATTATTTACGTACACATGTATATATCAAGATAAATATCGCTCGAATAGATTTCGTTCGCCGTAGTCCTCTGCCGAATGAAAGCCGCGAGCAAGCATTGGCACGATCAGGATGAAGACACTGCCAAAGGCGTGTTCTCAGAATTTCAGTTTCACTTCATTTCAGTTTCTTTGCAGGCATCAAACGATGTTTCGCCTGGAAGAAGAAGAAGCAAATTGCTGAGATGTTGATTGGCAGGAGGGCAAACTTTGTTGCAAGTCTCCGACGCAGAGGCTGCATGCAGATGTTTTCTTCATTTTTCATTATGACATTCGGCAGATCAAGTGTCGGATCTGAAATTATTTGGTTTGAACTGCTGCGATGTTTTTTGATCAGAAAGGTGATCCCTTCCTTTGACATGATTTGGGGTTTTCCTGGTGTTCATGGCCTTTGCGTGTTTTGCGTCTTGCTTGGTGGTCTGCTGGACAGTGGGACAGCAACATAGCACGCGGTCACGTCGACATGTCAGATGCTGACAATTGTTCCAAAGGAACCAGTGGATGCTGATGCTACACGTCATGTGGCAGCATTTAGTGGACGGTTCAAGTACTTCAAGTGGAGTAGCAGGACGCCAGATATGCTTTAATATGGTGGCCGCGCAGCGGTATGAATAGATTTCAGAGGCCTGTTTTGTTCTGTATGTTTACTGGTTTGAGTTCCGAGACCCTTGGCCCACGGAAAGGTGTCAAGCAATGCATATATATATACACACATACATACGCATATACACATACATTTACATTTACATTTACATTTACAGTTACATATACATATACATATGCACATGCATACATACATACATGCATGCATGCATACATACATACATACATGCAGACATACACACATACACACATACACACATACATACATACATACATACACACACATACACACATACACACATACACACATACACACATACACACATACACACACACATACACACATACACACATACACACATACACACATACACACATACAGACATACATGCATACATACATACACACATAGATACATAGATACATACATACATTCATGCATACACACATACATAGAGACATAGATACATAGATACATACATTCATACATACATACATATATATATATTACATATATTTATATTTAGATATTTACACACGAATAAAATGCATGAGTGGCTCGGTTCGTGAGGCCCATATCAAGAGCCAGCGCCTCCTGCAGTAGTTGAAGTTAAGGCCACAGAGGATGAATTGTTTAGCAGATCTAAGCAACAAATTCTTCGCATACGAGAACATTTCGAAGGGGGAGGCAGTGCGAGGGGGCCCACCTGGGCCATGATTTTTCTTTTTGTATGAAGCCACGTGCGATTTCCCACAGAGGGCCCACTGCAAACCTGTTTGCAAAGCATTGCAGGAAGGACAGCATAACCTTGCTCCGACAAGTGCAGCAAAGCTTGTCGCAGAGGCGCCAGCAGAGTTAATGAAGCCAAGTGAAGAATTTCGTCACCGGGTGTCATTGCGTGCATCGGGTGCCATCAGGTTGTGGATGCAACTCAGGCTTGCTCAACTGCCACGTTTGAAGCATCATCGGGTACCATCAATCTTTGTTTGGAGCTTGCTGTTTTCTTACAGGCGGCAGAGGCGGCAGAAGCAGAGGTCGAGGCAATCATGAGAGAAGAAGTGCAGCCCTCGCTTTGTGGTCAGAGAATGAGTTTCAAGCAGCTCACCTTGCTTGGTTCGCTTGACTCGTTATGACATTGAGGTTCTATGTCGTGCGCTATTGGACCCCGAAGGTGAAGCCAGAAGACGGCGAATTCAGGCAATTCTGTGCGCAGCACGTGCTGAGAGCAAATTCTCTGGCAGATCTGACAGGCTCGGAAGCTGCGCCGAAAAGGCGTGAGATAAGACCTAGATCAATTTAGTCGTTGGACGCTGCTACCAGTTCCAGGCCTTCGGTGGAACTTTGCTGGGCGATCTGCAAAAGCATCCAATGACCGTTTTCGAGAGCACGAGGCACATCCCCCTTCAATGCATGAGCTGCATCTACTGTAGCTACGTCAGGTTGGCACGGCGAGTGTTGCTTAGACAGTTTGAAAAGAAGACTGTCTGGCAAGGTTGACCTGGAATCCCGACGGAAGCTTGCCTTCCGCTCCCGGAGATTTCGAGGCACGGATGATCGGATGTGATTTGTCTCTGATTGGAATGTCTCGTGACTGAGACCGTGTCAAAATATGTCAAGGTCAAGCAGAAGACCAGGGTGATGAGCGGCAGCTTGGTAACCTCGCAAAGCAACGTGAGGCCCAGAGATCACGTGAGAGTACCGCAGTGTGCAAGATTCAAGAGCTTTGTGAGTGAGGCTTGTGGTGCGTCGTGAGTCATGATTCTTTATCAGCACGGCCCCACAGGTGGTGTTGGGACTCACTCCAATGCAGGTGCTGAGAGAGCGAGCCAATACTCCCAACAACCGTGACTTCAACACTTTGCATAATTAGCGCCACCTATGAGCAGTCAACCGCCCAGGTGCAAGGTGAGCAGAAGGTTGGGCAAATCATACAGTACTAAAGCTCTGTCAAATTAAGCCATGGTAAGGAATATGAGAAAAGATTCAAATTTAGAGCGAGATAGAATGCAAGAGCCTTACCAGATGCAAGTTCGGGCTTGAAGAGCTTCCTGCTTCTCTCGATACGCGCGCAAAATATGAATCAAAGCTGATGACATGAAACTGTGAATTTTATTTCGCTTTTGGCATTTGGTTTGATGAGCTTGTGGGCTCAGGGGCTTGAGGGCAGCAAAGCCAGCCAGAGCAAGGCTTGCAACTCCGCTGTCAGTGAGTCAGTCACTGCGAAAATTTTGGACAGACGAGGCGCAAAGACCTCGCCCGAGGCTGTGGGTTATGTGGGTAATGCGGGCTGCTAGCAGCGGATTGTCCCACGCAATGTTGTCTCTAACATCGTCACGTTCAGCCGTGCTGCGTGCGCACAGGGGAGGGCGGATGCTGAAACGACGTCGGTGCTGGTCCCAGTAGTGAAATGCTACGCCAAAACATTCCTGTGGCAGGGCATTATTTTTTGATCCGCTTTGATTCAGGTTACCGCCGATTGATTTTCCTGAGCTACCGATTCTTATTGCTGACCATGAAGACCAAGCTTCGCTCTGAGCTACCCAGCAGTTCGCAGCGAAGTTTAAGTTTAGTATGAAGCCAGCCCCAGAAACGAAGCTAGCGGCAGGGTTTCGGACGAAGTGAGTGCCAACATGTTTTAGGGGGTGCGGGGCAGGTGGGGTGGGGGGAGAATTATCTGTCAGCCAGTAGTATGCTTGGACTCACCCGGGTAGGCTGGCAGCTAGCTATCATTGAAGGAAAGGTTGTGTTTGGTTGTAGTCATTCCCTTGGTGTTTGAGGAAGGCAGGCATGTTGTAGTTTAGTTCCCCAAACAACGTGGCCACACTGAAGGTTTCTTGCAGTAGGTGTTAAGGCCCGGTGTGATCGAAGTGGTGTCCGGCGCGTCCGGCAAATTTGGTGGCACCTACAGCACGAAAGTTCCTCCGGTTTTCGAAGGAAGTCTCGCACGGAAGGGTTGCCCGTGCTCGTTTTTTGATCTGTTTTCATTTGTGGGAGGCATGGCGCCGTCCGGACATTGACAGACGCAGGACATCGGACACTTTTTCATCCGCGGGGCAGGCGTGGCACTTTTGCACGCGGCTAAAACGTTGGCAGGCGTCCGTTAAAATGAGAGCTGCTTTTGGAGGTCATTCCGTGTGGCAGGCGAAATATTTGGTGAATTTGGACGACATTTTGAAAGGGTCGAAAATCGCATTTTGTTAAGCTGTCGTCGAATTTGATTTGGGGCATGATGATGGTTCCGTGTGGCAGGCGCCGGACTTCAGATGCCTCGGGCTCATTTTTTGTGGCAGGCGCAGTGCTTTGTAGACCTCGACAAAAAAGTGGCAGAGACCCAGGAAAACGTCGTTTTTGACTTGTTCAATCTTATTTTTCCGTGACGCGCACAGTGTTTTGTGAAAATCTAGCATGTCCTCGTGCAACCCTTTCGTCACTTTGTGGGCATCGTAACCGCTCTCGTTTTGGCGCGGTTCGAATTGTGAGATCGCTCGCGCAATCACTGTAGCACGGTGTTCATTTTGACGGTCAAGGAAATCTTGCGCAGAGATCTTGACAAGGAAGTCTTGTATAGAGAGCTTGTGCAGAGATCTTGTCGGGAGATGAGCTTGTACAGAGAGTACAGAGATGTTGCCAAGAGACCTTTTGTAGAGATCTTGCGCAGACACCTTGCATGGACATCTGTTGAGATCTTGTCAAAAGTCCTCTTGCATAGAGATGTCTTACAAAGATCTTGTTTAGAGACCTCTGATCGAGAGACCTTGTATACGGAGATCTTGCCACGATGTCTTCTGCAGCATCCTGACACAGAGATCTCCCACAGAGACTTTGCAATGGAGAGCTTGAGCAGAGATCTTGCCTAGAGATCTTTGCTACGCAGATCTTTGCTAGACGGACCTTGTACAGGGATCTTGCCAAGAGATCCCCTGTAGCATCTTTGGCGGAGGTCTCCCAGAGAGATCTTCTTTAGAGACCTTGTGCGGAGATCTTTCCGAGAGATCTCTGATGAAAGTCATGTATGGAGACCTTTTGAATAAATTTTACACGGAGGTCTCGCGCAGAGAGCTTGCCAAGAGAGATTGTACGGAGGTCGCTTTCAGAGATCTTGCATGAATCTCTGTTTGGGACAGTGCGGCCAGGTTGAAAGCTTTTCGGTTCTGGTTAAAAGATTTTGGACATGTTTTGAAATCATATCGAAGAGGTCCATCATGCCTGTGCTACATTGCGGGTCTTGTCACCTGCAGATGCGAACCTCAGTTCACCCCGGTTCACCGGACACACGCGCTGCATTTGCTGCAACTGCACAGCAGGAGTGGCACATGAGCCGTAGGACAAAATCCTAGATTGGCACTGTCACTGTCGGCTTTTCAGGGGTACCTCCCTAGCCCTGCTGCTGACATGGCGCAATTCACGCTTGGTGGTTTGCCGCATGGACACCGATATGAGGGGCATCAATGTTTCGCAGGCTGTGAAGTCTTGCGTTTTGAGAGGAGATGTTGCAAAGCGAAACTTTGTCCACTGGGAAGCTGGCTGCTAGCTTTGCGTGAAGCTTGCAGCACTTGGGGACTTCAGCGGGCCCGAGAGATGACCGTGGAGGATCTGCGGGATGTTATCCGGAAGAGACTCCTGACCCTGCTTCCGCCTCTTACTTTTGGTTCCTTGCTGGAACATGCACCTTCAGCGGTGCGAAACACCTTGGCTGAACACAGCTGCAGCTGCGTCTGCGGACGCGAGTGGTGGTGCTCCTGCTTGAACTAGGACAGGTGCCGCGGGAAGGGCGGGTCAAGTTCAAAAGGGTCTGGTCTGGGCCAGGCTACGCCATGGAGTTGCCGCAGCTCTTGCCAGCACTGATTGAAGCCCGCGGCAACCGATCTGCTTCCCAGGCGCCAATATGGGAATCCGTTCGCGTGCAGATGGCAGCGCCAAGAACCGGCCCGCCCTTGAAGTCTGCGGATGTGTCCGCGGCATCGCGACACGATCTCGCCATGGTTCGTACTTCGCTGCTGCGGTTTGGGATGGGATGCTCCTGTGTCCGCGGCGTTCTGGTTCGTGCTTCGAATGACCCTTTTCAGCGGGTTTTTCCCGAGAACGCCTGCGAAGGGTTCTTCGTAAAAAAGCAGCCGTTATAATACATCTTCACACCTTCACATCTGCTGATCTACATCTTCACACCCACACATCTGCTGATCTGCATCTTCACACCTTCACATCTGCTGATCTACATCTTCACACCCTCACATCTGCTGATCTACATCTTCACACCCTCACATCTGCTGATCTACATCTTCACACCTTCACATCTGCTGATCTATATCTTCACACCCTCACATCTGCTGATCTACATCTTCACACCTTCACATCTGCTGACCTACATCTTCACACCTTCACGTCTGCAGATCTACTTCCTCGCACCTTCACAGCTGCGGATCTTCTCTCGCTCTTCTTTCTATCTCTCTCTTCAGGCGGGGGCGGTGCCGCCGGAGCGCCACAAAATGCAACCCTTTCGCACGAAATGGACGTCGGACGTCAAAAACCAAGGTAAAATTGCGATTTTGAGGTGTCAATCGCAACCCTTTCGCACGAAATGGACGTTAGACGTCAAAAACTGATGTAAAATTGCGATTTTGAGGTATCCATCGCAACCCTTTCGCACGAAATGGACGTTGGACGTCAAAAACCAAGGTAAAATTGCGATTTTGAGGTGTCAATCGCAACCGTTAGGCGCGAAATGGACGTTGGACGTCAAAAACTGATGTAAAATTGCGATTTTGAGGTATCCATCGCAACCCTTTCGCACGAAATGGACGTTGGACGTCAAAAACTGAGGTAAATTTGCGATTTTGAGGTGTCAATCGCAAAATGAGGTTCGAACGCCAAAAACTGCAGTAAAAATGCGATTTCACGGGTCCGGTCTCTGTGTGTGAAAGTGTTTGTGTGTAAAAGCTTCTGTGTGTGAAAGCTTCTGTGTGTAAAAGCCTCTGTGCGTGAAAAGCGTTTGTGTGTAAAAGCGTCTGTGTGTAAAAGCGTCTGTGTGTAAAAGCTTCTGTGTGTGAAAGTTTCTGTGTGTAAAAGCCTCTGTGCGTGAAAGTGTCTGTGTGTAAAAGTGTTTGTGTGTAAAAGCGTCTGTGTGTAAAAGCGTCTGTGTGTGAAAGTGTTTGTGTGTAAAAGCGTCTGTGTGTAAAAGCGTCAGTGTTAAAAGCGTCTGTGTGTACAAGCTTCTGTGTGTAAAAGCGTTTGTGTGTAAAGGAGTCTCTGTGTAAAAGCTTCTGTGTGTAAAAGCCTCTGTGTGTGAAAGTGCTTGTGTGTAAAAGCGTTTGTGTGTAAAAGCGTCTGTGTGTAAAAGTGTCTGTGTGTAAAAGCTTCTGTGTGTAAAAGCGTCTGTGTGTAAAGGAGTCTGTGTGTAAAAGCTTCTGTGTGTAAAAGCGTCTGTGTGTAAAAGCGTTTGTGTGTAAAAGCGTCTGTGTGTAAAATGTAAAAGTCTCTGTGCAAGCGTCTGTGTGTAAAAGCGTCTGTGTGTAAAAGCCTCTGTGTGTGTAAGTGTGTGCGTGTGTGTGTCTGTAAAAGCGTCTGTGGGTAAAAGCTTCTGTGTGTACAAGCGTCTGTGTGTAAAGGAGTCTGTGTGTAAAAGCGTCTGTGTGTAAAAGCTTCTGTGTGTAAAAGCGTCTGTGTGTAAAGGAGTCTGTGTGTAAAAGCGTCTGTGTGTGAAAGTGTTTGTGTGTAAAAGCTTCTGTGTGTGAAAGCTTCTGTGTGTAAAAGCCTCTGTGCGTGAAAAGCGTTTGTGTGTAAAAGCTTCTGTGTGTAAAAGCGTGTGTGTGTGTAAAAGCTTCTGTGTGTGAAAGTTTCTGTGTGTAAAAGCCTCTGTGTGTGAAGTGTTTGTGTGTAAAAGCGTCTGTGTGTAAAAGCGTCTGTGTGTAAAAGCGTCTGTGTGTAAAAGCTTCTGTGTAAAAGCGTCTGTGTGTAAAGGAGTCTCTGTGTAAAAGCTTCTGTTTGTAAACGCCTCTGTGTGTGAAAGTGTTTGTGTGTAAAAGCGTCTGTGTGTAAAGGAGTCTGTGTGTAAAAGCTTCTGTGTGTAAAAGCGTTTGCGTGTAAAAGCGTAAAAGCGTTTGTGTTTAAAAGCGTCTGTGTAAAAGTCTCTGTGCAAGCGTCTGTGTGTCAAAGCCTCTGTGTGTGAAAGTGTGTGTGTGTGTACAAGAAGAAGCGTGTGTGTGTGTGTGTAAAAGCTTCTGTGTGTAAAAGTCTCTGTGTAAGCGTCTGTGTGTAAAAGCCTCTGCGTTTGAAAGTGTGTGTGTGTGTAAAAGAAAAGCGTGTGTGTGTGTGTAAAAGCTTCTGTGGGTAAAAGTGTTTGTGTGTTAAAGCCTCTGTGTGTGAAAGTGTGTGTGTGTTTGTGTGTAAAAGCACCTGCGTGTAAAAGCGTTTGTGTGTAAAAGCCTCTGTGTGTGAAAGTGTGTGTGTGTGTGTGCAAAAGCGTCTGTGGGTAAAAATGTATGTGTGGAAAAGCGTCTGTGTGTAAAAGCGTCTGTGTGTAAAAG